AAAAAATTGTACAGAAAACAAACCAATGTGTTTTGTGTTTTTTTCCACAACATGCAGTAATGATACAGTGATGAATACTATGACTCAGTGTGGGTTGATTTAATCATTTATTAGGCAAATTGTAAATCAGATTGTGTACTGTAGACATAAAGTTCAATTTATGTATTCAAATGTCATTGTGATTCTGTAATAAGTTGAGAAACTTTATCAATCAACAAAATAATGAGGAAATCCATCAAAGAAAGTTAAGCTTAATAGGTGAAGATAATACATTATTTTAAATCATAAACTCTTAACATGTAAATGCTGTCTGACACACCTCAAAACACCCCATACTGATAATATGAAAAATTACAAGAAGAGATACAGCATAAAATACGATATGTGCATTCCAGTAATTGCTTGATCTATACAATCATATTAATTTTTTTGTGTGTGAAAACATCTCTCCTCTGCTACTTTGTACGGAAGTCTTCACTCGATGCCTTTAGCCTTCAGCTCCTCTTTGACTCTGCTCAGGTAGCCAGGATCAGGATACCCAAAACTGTGGAAGCAGAGTATGTACAGGTGTTAATGCATAACATTGTTAACATTTCAGCAGACTTGACATAAAAAAAGAACACATATTCAAAAGAAAGAAGAGATTTGGCTACTGTACTTCTCTGGTCCTCCTGTAATGCTGGTTTTGTGGTGAATGTCGTTCCAGGTCACTTGGTTGTCCATCCCAGACGTTCTGGACGTCCCAACAGTGAAAATGAGCTTCTGCTTGAACGCTTTCTTCAACAGGACCAGCACTTCTCTGCCCTCTTTGTTATTTGGCAGATATGCTATTCTGTGAATACCAGAATAGTACTTCCCAGGATTTAAATGCTTTTCCTGCAGAAGGAAAACGAGAAGTAAAAATAACTTACAACCATATTAGAAATAAACTTAAAAGTTAACCAAATTGACAAAATGTCTCAAAATATTTAAATGAAGGCATTTACCGTCTGTATTCCACCTGGAATATCATATTTGATATGTATATAGCCGCAGCCTGAGAATCCAGGGAGGGATGACGGACTTTCATAGCTCGTCATGGTTCCAGCCGGCTGGTCTCCTTCTATCAGACCAAAGACATCTTTGCAAACAGGACAAATGTCTCCCAT